AGCTCAAAGGCATCTAAAATGAAACATGAAGGCTTAGTTGAGGCTTTCAAGTCTCTCTGAGATCACAGGTACAATCAACATCTATGTACAATGCCATAAATGTAATCCTCCAGAACAACATCGTCAAAACCCAAACAACCAGAATTGAACGAACCTGATCAGTTATTACCCCCATCTCTGCACATCTATCATTCAAGCAAAACCACTTCTAATCATTAACCTAAAAAACTTCAGTAGTTGCGTACTAAAATTATCATGACAAATATGAAATCAATTATTTCCAGACAAGAATTATATACACGTATGATATATCTATGGAAGGGGCAAATTAGGATATAAGAGGTCCAGTCAAACATAAATGATGTAGCTCGAAGTGAGAAATATAACAAACACGTGGTCGAAGCTCACTGATTCCAAAGGAATATTGGGAATTGACCAATCAATATTTTGATGATTCAAGAATGAATACGTTATTCACTGATTCATGAGAATATCAAAGAGAATCTATAAAGAATAGGAGAAAAGGCTCCAAAGTTCTTCAAGCTTTTTATTCATCAAAAACAAAAGAATGCTTCTACTAACCATACAAGCTTATAAATAAGTTTTTTATCCATTCCCAAAAGACTAATCTCTCTTTCTAAAGATGTAAACACACATGAAATAAAGTAAAACAACATGGACTAACTAGAATAAGGAAACATCAACTAAGCACCAGCCAAAGCAATCTGCTCATTTTGGTCCCATTCAGCACTTCTTTAATTGAGCATATCATATCATGATCTAGTTGGCAATTCTCTCGTGTGCATCAATAAATCATTCATGAATATGAAAATATACTTTGTACACCGTTTAATATGCTTTCTGAATGCATTTAAATATACATCAAGCAAAACAAAAACTTTTTATTATGTACAAAAATAAATTTGAGAATCCAACACAAAAAATAAGTAGTTAATAAATGCACAATAGTTTAGGGAAAACGGAGTATTTACCCAAAAAAAAAAAAAAAAATACAGATCACCTAGAACAAAAAGCGACAGGATATCTTAGATAATAATAAATAAGCATTTTTCTTGTTATGCTTGGAACTGGGGAGAAACAATACCAAATAAACTGATTTCATACATACAATGAAATGAAAATCATGTTAGGTCAAGCTTTGGCAGAATCTTTCATATGGTCCTGCTAACAAATCTAAAAATTAATGATCCCATTTTAAGATGGGAATAACCTCTTATACCCGATAAGCCATAAAGTAAGGTATCCCAATCAATATTGTGTAACTATGAACCCCTACTCAACTATGCAATTACTTTTAGTTAAATCTCTCTTATTTCAATGGTCAAGCAGCTTTTGCATTATTAATGTGAAAGCTTAAATAATCTATTAGATGAACACAAATTGAAAAGAAAACTAATGTCTGGCTTCGACTTAGAATACGTGTCAGTTTGAGAATCATGTCAAAAGAAAAAATTCAAACAGGACTTCACCAATGCAATCAATCGGTTGTGAATTACACAAGTCATGTTGACAGAAATTTTCAATCTACATGGCTGTCTTAAGAGTCACTAACTTGATTGTGAAAATTTCATGACGATCAGAAAATCTAGTGCAAAAACAAACAAATTTGGCGACCTGTTGAAAAGACAGTCATCATAAGGAATTATGTTTTGCATCGATTGCAATAAAGACCGCAATTTTATAGCAGAATAATGAGACAAATGGCAGAAGAGGGACGACCTTTTCCCAGAAAGCTCATAACTGCAGATTTTGCAACAGTACCTTATCTACACACATTTCTGAACCATGCAAAATGAAAGCCAAACGGGGTTACTCATGTACTTCTTTTGTTTTATATGAACTATGTCTAAGATCAAAAAATATGGTTACCCGATGGATAGCAAAGCTATCCAATGCCTTGTAAGTAAAAATGTAAAAGACTGTTCCCCCTCTGTATATTTTCCATGAAGCAATGTAATTTGTATTAAATCATATTTAAATTTTATACTCATTTCCCTTATACAATTCAAGCACATTGCATTGTAATTAAATATATAAACATACAAGAAGAGTAAATCACTTCAGCACAAAAGCAAATGAAAAGTTTTACATAATCGACATACTTTAGTCCAGGTCCTCCTCTCTAGCCTGTCCTCCACCAGAGCCTGCATTTGATGCCCCACTATTCTCATTGTTGTCGGTGTTCCCTCCTTGGTTACTGCCAGCTCCACCTCCACTGTTGCTTGTCTCTGCTGGAGAATCAAGACCTCTGAAAATCCATGGCAGTGATATCCTAAACCTCCTCTCCATCGTTCTTGGTATTTGATTATCATTAGTGCCAGTCTCCTGACCTCCACCGACTGAGGCCAAGCCTAAATTATTATTGTTACTATTTCTGCTATTATAGCTCACTTGCCCAGTTCTTCGATTTTCATAATCTGGGTCATCAGTGGGTAACTCATATCTACAAACTGGACAAGAATTATGCAACTCAAGCCAAGGTAATATACAATCTTTATGGTAGATATGTTTACAAGGCATTTGCTTTGCTTCCTCGTTTAACCCAAAGCTGTCTTTGCACACGGCACACTGGGATGAATCTGTGGCCAACAACTCCTCCGTGATCTTTATATTTGGCAACCCATCCACCGCAGACTTAGATGCAGGTGGGGTTCCATACCTGTTGGGATCGTTCTCGGCAAGTTGCTGAATCAATTGCTCCAACCCCGGCCCAACAAAATAGTCACCAAGATTAGAAGGTAGCCCAAAATCAACCCCATGTCCCAGACCTCCGCCACCCGGCCCCTCAAAAACAAGCTGAATGTTCGCACCACGTGACTGGAGACCATTCACGTACTGGTTTAGAAAGGCGAAGGGATTGAATTCATCAGAGGATCGGGAGCCTCCGAACAAAGAAGAAAGATCGTTTAATCCTCCACCTCCACCGCGAACAGAAAAGGCGGCGCCTCGTGGGGTGCCGGTGGCGGAGGAGAAGATAATGGGAAGACCACCGAAGGCTGCAGAGGGAAAATTTTCAGAGAAAAATTGGTTGGGGTTATCACTGGGGTTGGTAGGGTTTGAGGGCGGTACGGTGTCGGATTCTTCGAGAAAGCCGCCGTTGCAATTGGGGCAAACGAGCTCTGCGGTGGGAGACGGTAAGGGAATTATGGTGACGTTGCCCTCGCATTGGTAACAGTAATACTGTTGTGCGCCGCCGCAATTTCCGCCACCTCCGCCGGGAACTTCCGCCGACGACATTTTATTCTGTAAGATGTGTATACGTATGCGTAGAGAGAGAATTTGGGAAGTGAAAAATACGAAGTTTGAGAAAAACGTGATGGGGGATATTTATAGTGTGTAATAAGGAAGGATTCTCTCCAGTTAGATAGGGTCCAATTTCCTACGTTACGAGTACTCATTTTTGGCTTTGAAATAACATAAAGTATAACTTTCTCAAATAATGTTACTTGTACATACGTAGCTATATAAGGATTTACATGTAGATGAGACGTCAAAAAGGGAATAAGGAATTTTTTTTAATATTTGGTTGAAAAAATTATAATCCAATCATATCTTACCATATCATGTGTATGAAATCTATTATTTACATGTAGCACAATCGAATTTTCTAACTTTTTTTCTTTAACGCACAAACATTGCAACTATATTTGAAGATGTATCTCTTGTGTATCGTACCATGGTTGCTTTCTATGGTTCCTAGCGTCTACTAAGGATGTTATGTGGGGCCAACCGACAGGCTATGTTTATTAGGGGTGCTAAATGGCTCGCCCCACTTGCAAGTCGAGTAGAAAAATTGGCTCATAATTGGTGAATTAAATACAATTTAACTAATAAAAAATTGAAGACTTGCGAGTTGATAGGGCAAGCCGAGCGTGACGATAGAGAAGTCAAGCGGCATGACTTGACTCAATCCATTTAATACTCTTAGTGTGTACCATGTATATATAGTGAAAAATTTAATATCATAATTGACATAAAGTTCTTACCTTAGTTGTAATGCCAGCCATTTGCCTATTTACAATAAGATTAATTCCTCTTTTTCTTTATACTAATGTGGTGAATATCTTTACACGTTAGTTAATTAATGGTAAAAAAAGCATATATAGAAATGATAGGATGGTGTGAGTAGAACATTGAGTTACAAATAACGGTTTGAATTGTGAATTTCAACATTTACTCTCATTTATGATTCATTGATAACGAAATGAGTGACGTTTAAATATATCTGGAACAACTGAATTTAAAGTTTATCCTATTTTGACTTGTAGAGCACCTTTCTAAATGTTCTTTTGTTATGAATTATATGTTGTACAATTTACACAATAGGTACATGTGGATACAAGAAGCAAACAAAAAGATAGTAAAGACCAAAAACATCGCATTATTTAGTATAAGTAACTGGAATAGCAAAGTACTAATCTAGATTAGTTATAGAGCCAAACTATAGATAATGTTTGGCTCAATAACCATTTCATGAGTAGCTTAAGATACAAGTGATATTTTAAAGTTGATTAAAAAATTTCAAAAGCTATTTCTTGCTACATCTTGCACTTCAAACTGGAATGAGACAAAACGAACCAAAAACCATTTCTAACTTGCATGATTTCTCCAATGATTTAACATTATGCATCATTTAAAATTTTTAACACCGGATTCGTTAACTGTAATGCCTTTGCCACTACCATCTTCGTCATCTTCTTTGTTTTTGGAATGTGAAGGACTAGAAGTTAAGAATAATACCCTTTTGGCTGACGATGCATTATAATCATGTTGCATCCAGTGGAGTGATTCAACAAATGGAGTTAAAGATGTGCTTCCAACAATGCTAACATGTGGAGTTTTTCCTGTTGTTGAAGATGACATCGTACTTGTATTCTTCTCCATGTTTATGTTTTAAAGCTTTCACGTAGAAAAGTAGAACTTCATTTGTTGAGGTGTGGATTGATTCTGGAAGGGATGTGTTGTGATGCTAAAATAGAAATGTTTGATATGGAAATGTAAATGAATTTCAAAAATGTGTTCGAGGTGGGTACCAGAGTTGTTTGTTTCATTAATGTGAGGGCAAAGCATTATAAGAAATTCTCAACATGTTTTCCTATAATTGTAGCATCAATATATCTTGATGATTCTTGCAATTGGATAGAAGCTCTTGCCGTATGGTAATATGACATAGATGACATAAGAGCTGGAAAACAAGGATTGTATTAAATTCTATTTGATGTATATGCAATTATTACTTGGAATAGCATGGGCTTGAGAGTATTTGTAGAATGAAGAGCAATGGATTTCATCGGAATCAACATATGTAGACTTATTGCAGTTGTTGCACAACATGCACTTAAAAGATTGATCATGATGTGCGATATGTGGTTCTTCTTTTAACGAAAAGTAGCTTTGTTGTATTCACAAATTAAGAATGAGTTAGTAATATGTATGTTTAAAAAGAAATACAAAGAAAAATATATTAGAGTTTAGGAAGATGAAATATTAAAACAAGGTTACATACCACAAGCAAAAGTCCCTCTATATTTCTAATTCGAGTTATTTTATCTTCCTTTGAAGTGGACACTCTTAAGTCGATGCATAGTAATCTTTCTTCTTTAGCTTTAAAAGAATTGCATCCACCTTGTATTAGATGTGATTAAAGTAGACTCATGTGAGACATTTATTTTTAAGATCATTGTTTGTGTACTTTTGATTAGGAGAATGCCACGAGAATGCTCTATTGATAACATTAAATTTACCTTCCTAAGCTACAAAGAAAATCGGTGTAAGTATAAGCAACCATTCGGTACTAGAATTTGTTATGACTTAAAAAAAAGGAGCAAAGAAAAATACTTAAATTGAATTTAGTGTAAGGGAGATTGCAGATACCTTTATTTTATACATAAGAGCTCGAGAGCATGTGAATGGAAGTTTTGATGGTGACAATAAGGTTGTTGGCATAGAGATGACATGATTGGTTGAAAAAAAATGAAATTATTTAAGGTTTTCTATAGTATTATTTTACAGATTATTGCAAGTTGGTAATGTTCGACTTGAAAATAGAAAATATGCAAGAATCTATAAAATATTTATTGTAGAAAACATTAAATACTTCTTCATTTTATCGACCAATTATGTCCATCTCCTTGTCAACTACTTCATTGTTGTTCCCTCAAATATTTTATTGACATTTTCTCGAGATCTTATGTACAAGTGAACATTTTATCTTGGTATGCAATTTCAACATATCGCACCGTTGAAGTGAAAGTTGCCAGCACTGCTAATTCTCCAATTATGCAAAAAAGTTATCCCATAAGCAACTTTTCAAAATTTCTTGAAAAGAAAAGTAGACCTAGAAACAAATAGAAAAAGTAGACGAAATGAATGTTCTAAACCACAAAAGCAAAACGAAGGCATATCCCATTAACAAATTTTCAAGATTTCTTGAAAGAAAAGCAGATCTAGAAATAAAGAGTTTTCAAATGTAGAAAGAAAGGAAAAAATGAGACGAAATAAATGTTCAGGAACCACAAAAGCAAAAGGAACACTACTCCACAAAAGCAAAATAAAATGCTCATCCGATAAACAAATTTTCAAGATTTCTTAAAAGAAAATCAAATCTAGAAACGAAGAGTTATGACATCTAGAAAGAAAGAGAAAATGCAATGTCCCAAATTTTTATTACTAATCGTTATATTTAAAATTAGGAATTATGAGTGTTATTATTAAAGTCTAATAACCTTATTAGTTATTGGCCTAGTTAAATGACTTTATTGATTACTAGCCAATAGTTTGAGGACCTAAATGGAGAGTTAATTTGGAAATTAAACGAAATCATGTGTGAAATATATGTAAATATATATACCAGTTAGTCAAGAATAAAGATAACTTATTTGATCATATGCATTATTCACCTCATTTTAAGCAATGTAACTAATTTGATCGCATACATTATTTATATCAAAAGTCAAGTCAATTAATTTAACCACGTGATTAAAGATATTGATTTGACAACTTTAATGACAGTGTACCATTTATGCATTGATCATACCTAACTTCTAGCTATTTCCTTTAACTTTTCTACGCATGGTCCAAGAATTTACATTATAATTAGGAGATAAACTCAATATTAGACTATCTCTCACCAACTATTTACACTTTGTCTCTTTATCTCTATCACTTTATTTCTCTGCATTTAGTCTTTCTCTTGTCCTTTTCATATTAAATATAGTTATACACTTAAAAAATCACACAACCCCACATGCGGCTCAATGATCTCTCTCCAACAATCACTTTTTCTATCATTTTGAATTGTAAAGTGAAAGGTAAGTGTGTTATTAAGTTATTACATGAGTAATGCTATATATGTTATTCCTTGGCTATGTTAAGTTATAGTCCGTATTATGTATAAGATTTGTATGGACGGATTGTTGTATAGTAGTGATATGCATGGAAAATTTGGTACCATCTAAGTTAGATCAAATTTTCGTGTCTCCCTTCGCAAGTATGAAAATTAACATGAATTGCATATACATAAATAAAATTTACTTATGCACACTTATTGAGATTTTATCTCACGTTATGTTCTTTTTTGCCATTTTTGGAAAATTAACGGTTCGATGCAGAGATGAATGCCATCGTAGGATATTTAAAATATTTTTCTTGAAATTATGTCAAATTTTATTTAATTTATATTTCGAGGAAATCGATGAGGACATGAAATTAATGCAGAGATGAATGACATCATGGGATATTCAAAATAATATTCACAAAATTAAATCAAATTTTATTTAATTTATGTTGAATTCGTTTCAAAATTTTCTTATGTCAAATGTATTTTCTTAAAAACTGGCTTATTATGAATAATGTTGAATCATAACTATTCATTAAAAATCATATTGATTCATTTAAACTTTTTTATTTAAGTTTGATTTAAATATTAGTGACACTCAAATCGTTTAAGAATTCGGGTTGTCAAAATTGGTATCAGAGCGAGTCTATGTTCCTATAGACTGCAATAATAAATAAATAAATAAATAAAAATAAAAACAAATTAGATCTTAGTGACACACATTTAAATCAATGATTTTCATTAAGACATTATTTTACAATATATATAGGGACTAAATGATTTCTTTTAATTCACCATGATGCCATACTTCCAAGTCATCTCCCCTCAAATCGGGTTTCTCGTATGTTTCATTGCTAAATGTAATATCTTTAACTGTACATATGATTATGTTAGTTATGTAAATAGTACAATTTATGAGGCATGAATAATTATGACTTGTACGAAAATTATAAGTATCATGAATTATTTGCT